AGCGACTGGAGTGACTGAAGTGACTGAAGTGACTGAAGTGACTGAAGTGACTGGAGTGACTGAAGCGACTGGAGTGACTGGAGTGACTGAAGGGACTGAAGTGACTGGAGTGACTGAAGTGATTGAAGTGACTGAAGTGACTGAAGTGACTGAAGTGACTGGAGTGACTGAAGTGACTCAAGTGACTGGAGCGACTGAAGCGACTGAAGTGACTGAAGTGACTGGAGTGACTGAAGCGACTGGAGTGACTGAAGTGACTGAAGTGACTGAAGTGACTGAAGTGACTGAAGTGACTGGAGTGACTGAAGTGGCTGAAGTGACGGAAGTGACTGAAGTGGCTGGAGTGACTGAAGCGACTGAAGTGACTGAAGTGACTGGAGTGACTGAAGTGACTGAATTGACTGAAGTGACTGGAGTGACTGAAGTGACTGAAGTGACTGGAGTGACTGAAGTGGCTGAAGTGACTGAAGTGACTGGGGTGAATGAAGTGACTGAAGTGACTGAAGTGACTGTGACTGAAGTGACCGAAGTGACTGGAGTGATTGAAGTGACTGAAGTGGCTGAAGTGACTGAAGTGACTGGAGTGAGTGGAGTGACTGAAGTGACTGAAGTGACTGGAGTGACTGAAATGACTGAAGTGATTGAAGTGACTGAAGTGATTGAAGTGACTGGAGTGACTGAAGTGGCTGAAGTGACTGAAGTGACTGACGTGACTGGAGTGACTGAAGCGACTGAAGTGACTGAAGTGACTGGAGTGACTGAAGTGACTGAAGTGACTGGAGTGACTGAAGTGATTGAAGTGACTGAAGTGACTGAAGCGACTGGAGTGACTGGAGTGACTGGAGTGACTGGAGTGACTGAAGTAACTGAAGTGACTGGAGTGACTGAAGTGACTGGAGCGACTGAAGCGACTGAAGTGACTGAAGTGACTGGAGTGACTGAAGTGACTGAAGTGACTGAAGTGACTGGAGTGACTGAAGTGGCTGAAGTGACTGAAGTGATTGAAGTTACTGAAGTGACTGAAGTGATTGAAGTGACTGAAGTGACTGGAGTGACTGAAGTGACTGAAGTGACTGAAGTGACTGGAGCGACTGAAGCGACTGAAGTGACTGAAGTGACTGGAGTGACTGAAGTGACTGAAGTGACTGAAGTGACTGGAGTGACTGAAGTGGCTGAAGTGACTGAAGTGACTGAAGTGACTGAAGTGACTGAAGCAACTGGAGTGACTGAGGTGACTGAAGTGACTGAAGTGACGAAGTGACTGAAAATGACTGAAGCGACTGGAGTGACTGAAGTGACTGAAGTGACTGAAGTGATTGAAGTGACTGAAGTGACTGAAGTGACTGAAGTGACTGGAGTGACTGAAGTGACTCAAGTGACTGGAGCGACTGAAGCGACTGAAGTGACGGGAGTGACTGAAGCGACTGGAGTGACTGAAGTGACTGAAGTGACTGAAGTGACTGAAGTGACTGGAGTGACTGAAGCGACTGGAGTGACTGGAGTGACTGAAGGGACTGAAGTGACTGGAGTGACTGAAGTGATTGAAGTGACTGAAGTGACTGAAGTGACTGAAGTGACTGAAGTGACTGAAGTGACTCAAGTGACTGGAGCGACTGAAGCGACTGAAGTGACTGAAGTGACTGGAGTGACTGAAGCGACTGGAGTGACTGAAGTGACTGAAGTGACTGAAGTGACTGAAGTGACTGAAGTGACTGGAGTGACTGAAGTGGCTGAAGTGACTGAAGTGACTGGGGTGAATGAAGTGACTGAAGTGACTGAAGTGACTGTGACTGAAGTGACCGAAGTGACTGGAGTGATTGAAGTGACTGAAGTGGCTGAAGTGACTGAAGTGACTGGAGTGAGTGGAGTGACTGAAGTGACTGAAGTGACTGGAGTGACTGAAATGACTGGAGTGACTGAAGTGACTGAAGTGACCGAAGTGACTGAAGTGACTGGAGTGACTGAAGTGACTAAAGTGACTGAAATGACTGGAGTGACTAAAGTGACTGAAGTGACTGAAGTGACTGAAGCAACTGGAGTGACTGAGGTGACTGAAGTGACTGAAGCGACTGAAGTGACTGAAGCGACTGGAGTGACTGAAGTGACTGAAGTGACTGAAGTGACTGAAGCAACTGGAGTGACTGAGGTGACTGAAGTGACTGAAGCGACTGAAGTGACTGAAGCGACTGGAGTGACTGAAGTGACTGAAGTGACTGAAGTGATTGAAGTGACTGAAGTGACTGGAGTGACTGAAGTGACTGGAGTGACTGGAGTGACTGAAGTGACTGAAGTGACTGGAGTGACTGAAGTGACTGAAGTGACTGAAGTGACTGAAGTGACTGAAGTGACTGGAGTGACTGAAGTGACTGAAGTGACTGAAGTGACTGGAGCGACTGAAGCGACTGAAGTGACTGAAGTGACTGGAGTGACTGAAGCGACTGGAGGGGACTGAAGTGACTGAAGTGACTGAAGTGACTGAAGTGACTGAAGTGACTGGAGTGACTGAAGTGGCTGAAGTGACTGAAGTGGCTGGAGTGACGAATCGACTGAAGTGACTGAAGTGACTGGAGTGACTGAAGTGACTGAATTGACTGAAGCGACTGGAGTGACTGAAATGACTGAAGTGACTGGAGTGACTGAAGTGGCTGAAGTGACTGAAGTGACTGATGTGACTGAGGTGACTCGAGTGACTGAAGTGACGAGTGGCTGAAGTGACTGGAGTGACTGAAGTGACTGAAGTGACTGAAGTGACTGAAGTGACTGGAGTGACTGAAGTGACTGAAGTGACTGAATTGACTGAAGTGATTGAAGTGACTGGAGTGACTGAAGTGACTGAAGTGACCTCACACATCTGAGTGTACACTCGTAGGTGTACACTCGTAGGTGTACACTCGCAGGTGTACACTCGTAGGTGCACATTCATCTTGTGTGCACATTTCTATGAATTATGTTTGATGCATTTTCTATAAATTTTGTTGTGAATATTCATCAGTAAATAACAGTATCAGAAGTGGAGTAAACAATGTGTAAACAATGTTGAGGTTCTACCTCCATCCTACCAGTGTGTAAACAATGTTGAGGTTCTACCTCCATCCTACCAGTGTGTAAACAATGTTGAGGTTCTACCTCCATCCTACCAGTGTGTAAACAATGTTGAGGTTCTACCTCCATCCTACCAGTGTGTAAACAATGTTGAGGTTCTACCTCCATCCTACCAGTGTGTAAACAATGTTGAGGTTCTACCTCCATCCTACCAGTGTGTAAACAATGTTGAGGTTCTACCTCCATCCTACCAGTGTGTAAACAATGTTGAGGTTCTACCTCCATCCTACCAGTGTGTAAACAATGTTGAGGTTCTACCTCCATCCTACCAGTGTGTAAACAATGTTGGGTTCTACCTCCATCCTACCAGTGTGTAAACAATGTTGAGGTTCTACCTCCATCCTACCAGTGTGTAAACAATGTTGAGGTTCTACCTCCATCCTACCAGTGTGTAAACAATGTGGAGGTTCTACCTCCATCCTACCAGTGTGTAAACAATGTTGAGGTTCTACCTCCATCCTACCAGTGTGTAAACAATGTGGAGGTTCTGCCTCCATCCTACCAGTGTAAACAATGAGGAGGTTCTGCCTCCATCCTACCAGTGTGTAAACAATGTTGAGGTTCTGCCTCCATCCTACCAGTGTGTAAACAATGTGGAGGTTCTGCCTCCATCCTACCAGTGTGTAAACAATGTGGAGGTTCTACCTCCATCCTACCAGTGTGTAAACAATGTGGAGGTTCTGCCTCCATCCTACCAGTGTGTAAACAATGTGGAGGTTCTACCTCCATCCTACCAGTGTGTAAACAATGTTGAGGTTCTGCCTCCATCCTACCAGTGTGTAAACAATGTTGAGGTTCTACCTCCATCCTACCAGTGTGTAAACAATGTGGAGGTTCTACCTCCATCCTACCAGTGTGTAAACAATGTGGAGGTTCTACCTCCATCCTACCAGTGTGTAAACAATGTGGAGGTTCTACCTCCATCCTACCAGTGTGTAAACAATGTGGAGGTTCTGCCTCCTTCACCTCAACTCTCAACTCCTGCACTTGCAACTCTCCACTCAAAGCTCCTTCAGAAATGTAGGTCCCTACCTATCATTCACCTGCCACTGTCTCAGTACATGTCCACTGTGTCTCTCACTCAGTACATGTCCACTGTGTCTCTCACTCAGTACATGTCCACTGTGTCTCTCACTCAGTACATGTCCACTGTGTCTCTCACTCAGTACATGTCCACTGTGTCTCTCACTCAGTACATGTCCACTGTGTCTCTCACTCAGTACATGTCCACTGTTTCTCTCATCAGTACATGTCCACTGTGTCTCTCACTCAGTACATGTCCACTGTGTCTCTCACTCAGTACATGTCCACTGTGTCTCTCACTCAGTACATGTCCACTGTGTCTCTCACTCAGTACATGTCCACGTGTCTCTCACTCAGTACATGTCCACTGTGTCTCTCACTCAGTACATGTCCACTGTTTCTCTCACTCAGTACATGTCCACTGTGTCTCTCACTCGTACATGTCCACTGTGTCTCTCACTCAGTACATGTCCACTGTGTCTCTCACTCAGTACATGTCCACTGTGTCTCTCACTCAGTACATGTCCACTGTGTCTCTCACTCAGTACATGTCCACTGTGTCTCTCACTCAGTACATGTCCACTGTGTCTCTCACTCAGTACATGTCCACTGTGTCTCTCACTCAGTACATGTCCACTGTGTCTCTCACTCAGTACATGTCCACTGTTTCTCTCACTCAGTACATGTCCACTGTTTCTCTCACTCAGTACATGTCCACTGTTTCTCTCACTCAGTACATGTCCACTGTGTCTCTCACTCAGTACATGTCCACTGTGTCTCTCACTCACTACATGTCCACTGTGTCTCTCACTCACTACATGTCCACTGGACATGTGTCTCTCACTCACTACATGTCCACTGTGTCTCTCACTCAGTACATGTTTGCATCGTACGTTGAGGAGCTGCTGAGGAGCAGAAGTGCTGAGGAGCCCATGTTCCTGTACCTGCCCCTGCAGAGTGTACACGCTCCACTCCAGGTACCAGACAACTACACTACCCCGTACCTCTACATCACTGATACCAACCGTCGCACCTACCTTGGTAAGTGTACCATGTTGCTGTACATGTACCATGGTAAGTGTACCATGTTATTGTACATGTACCATGGTAAGTGTACCATGTTGCTGTACATGTACCATGGTAAGTGTACCATGTTATTGTACATGTACCATGGTAAGTGTACCATGTTATTGTACATGTACCATGGTAAGTGTACCATGTTATTGTACATGTACCATGGTAAGTGTACCATGTTATTCTACATGTACCATGGTAAGTGTACCATGTTATTCTACATGTACCATGGTAAGTGTACCATGTTATTCTACATGTACCATGGTAAGTGTACCATGTTATTGTACATGTACCATGGTAAGTGTACCATGTTATTCTACATGTACCATGGTAAGTGTACCATGTTATTGTACATGTACCATGGTAAGTGTACCATGTTGCTGTACATGTACCATGGTAAGTGTACCATGTTATTCTACATGTACCATGGTAAGTGTACCATGTTATTGTACATGTACAATGGTAAGTGTACCATGTTGCTGTACATGTACCATGGTAAGTGTACCATGTTGCTGTACATGTACCATGGTAAGTGTACCATGTTATTGTACATGTACCATGGTAAGTGTACCATGTTATTCTACATGTACCATGGTAAGTGTACCATGTTATTCTACATGTACCTTTGGTAAGTGTACCATGTTATTGTACATGTACCATGGTAAGTGTACCATGTTATTATACATGTACCATGGTAAGTGTACCATGTTATTGTACATGTACCATGGTAAATGTACCATGTTATTCTACATGTACCATGGTAAGTGTTACCATGTTATTCTACATGTACCATGGTAAGTGTACCATGTTATTGTACATGTACCATGGTAAATGTACCATGTTATTCTACATGTACCATGGTAAGTGTACCATGTTATTCTACATGTACCATGGTAAGTGTACCATGTTATTGTACATGTACCATGGTAAGTGTACCATGTTATTCTACATGTACCATGGTAAGTGTACCATGTTATTCTACATGTACCATGGTAAGTGTACCAAGGTATTGTACAAGTACCATGGTAAGTGTGAATGACAGGATGGATAATGAGAACCTTCAAAACTAGGGATGCCAAGCCCATGATGACACTCTTCAGTCACTTGTTCTATCTAGTCAGGAATATTGCTGCACACTAACAGCACCTTGCAAGGCAGGTGAAATTGCTGACCTAGAAAATGTACAGAGAACCTTCAAAACGGAGACAAAACACCTCAGTTACTGGGAACGATTGAAGTTCCTGAATCTGTACTCCCTGGAATGCAGGCGGAAGAGATACATGATTATATACACTTGGAAAATCCTAGAGGGATTAAAGCCAAACTTGCACACGAAAATCACTCCTTATGAAAGCAAAAGACTCGGCAGACGATGCAACATTCCCCCAATGAAAAGCAGGGGCGGAACTAGCACGATTAGAGACAACACATTAAGTGTCAGGGGTCCAAGACTGTTCAACTGCCTCCCAGCATACATAAAAGGGATTACCAATAGACCCCTGGCTGTCTTTAAGAAGGCGCTCGACAGGCACCTAAAGTCAGTACCTGACCAGCCGGGCTGTGGTTCGTACGTCGGGGTGCGTGCGGCTAACAGTAACAGCTTGGTTGATCAGGCCCTGATCCACCATGAGGCCTGGTCACAGACCGGGGCGCGGGGGCGTTGACCCCCCTAAACCCTTTCCAGGTATACTACCAACCGCTGGATAGGTAAGTGGTCACTATGCACCACAGGATGGGTAGGTGGTCACTGCCCACCTCAGGATGGATAGGTGGTTACTACCCACCTCAGAATGGGTAGGTGGTCGCTACCCACCACAGGATGGGTTGGTGGTCACTACCCACCATTGGTTGGGTAGGTGGTCACTACCCACCTCAGAATGGGTAGGTGATCACTACCCATCACAGGTTGGGTAGGTGGTCACTACCCACCACAGGTTGGGAACGCTGACACTACCCGCCACAGGTTGGGTAGGTGGTCACTACCAACCTCAGGATGGGTAGGCTGTCACTACCCACTACAAGATGGGTAGGGGTCACTACCCACCACAGGTTGGGTAGTGACCAGATTACACTGTTTCCCTCCACTGTATCCAGTTTCCTAAATATTTAGTTCTTAATTAAATTCTTCCCTGAAGTTTCTCTCTCAGAGGTGTTCCGTTGTGTCTCTTAATTTCCCCTCACAGTGTTTCTCCTTCAGATCTGGTACTAATCTTGTTGTTAACTTCTAGATTTTTGAGTTTCTCACATGTTTTCTTCATGTTGTGTTGGTTCATGTTGGTGTCACCAAAACAATAAATCATT